GGAGGGACCAGACATACTCTAGTTACAAATATCAGTTAAAATCAAACTGGATTCCCGAGCCTCAACCAATACAAGATCCCATGTTCAGGGGCTTCTTGGACACATTATAAAAGAACTTCTGATCTAGGGAAAAAATTCTGATAGATGGACCCTGGGGACAACTGTGATGCATTGGGATAAATTATTGCTAATTTACTTTACTTCTACGTGTAGATTAACACGGGTGTGACAAAGTGACATCCCTGTTCCTATGCCTACTGCCAAAAACTGAAGGGATAGTAGGGAGGGGGACGTTCATAAGCTGGGGCTGTTACAGGTAACTGACGTAAAACGCAGACACCCTGCATTAGATGGGCCTTTATTCACAGTGGGTTTTGTCCTGTCTTAACGTGGCGTAGCATGAAATGAAGCTGGAGGTCTTGCCCAACTGCCAGCAGAGTGCAGGGCATCTGGGAGGAGGAATGCAGCACAAAGGTGGGTGTGGCGAGTTTCTTTAGTCCAGAGCCAACTGCTGACTGGCGGTGCTCAGCTTCTTGGCCCTCAGGCTGTGCCAGGGACATGGCATTTCAAGCCCCAGGCAGTTGTAAGATTTGAAAAGCCACCCTGGAACTTGAGTGAAGGCATCTGTGCCTCAAGAATAAGCCTGAGTTCCTGATGGTGGTTCTTACCTGACTAGGGGCGTTGCAGTGGGAGGAGATACAACCTAGTCCTTGCTTAGGGGAAAGTGGATATGGGATTTGGCTAGGTTGGTATCACCCTTGTGGTGCTTTGGATGGACTGAAGGTCCTTCTGAAGGTGCAGATGTTTCGCTGATGGGTTCATAAGAAGGTTAAAGAAGATGGAAAAGACCCATTTGCTGGTGTAGGTTCCTGTTCCCAAAGCACTCCTCCAGGAGGCTAACTTGAGCACTTGGACCTTGTGAAAAATAGGAGTAGGTTTCCATAAAAGGCAGAGCCATGGATTGCCTGGCCCAAGTTTTAGTGTTAGTGATGGGGCCCTGGATCTAGAGACCAGATGGAAAAACTGCCTGGAAACATGCTGGCTGTAGGACTGGTCAAGGCTGGATTTAGACTTTCCTTTCCACAGGCATTCTGTGATACGTGCTCTAATCTCATTAATATACTCCTCTTTCAGATTCTACATTAGGACCCTGAGCCGTTTTAACTGAGAAAGGTGGTACAAGTGTGTATTTTCAGCGTTGTTTTTTTTTCCTCATTGAGTTTATTGGTACATTTTAGGTATACAGTACAGTTACATTCATTATTGGGATCTTGTACCTTTACATGACAGGTCCTGGTTCTCATTTTTTCCCCTTGTCTCTGCCCTACCTTCACCCCCTCTTCCCCTCCCCCTTTATAAATACATTTCCATTTTTTCATTTTCCCGTATTTTTTTCTTTTCCCTTATTAGCTTTCACCTACCCTTCCCACTTTCCCTACAACTTTAGCCCCTTTCTTCCTATTTCACATTGTCAATTATATTATTAGGATCTTATGTACTATTATAGTTTATTCACACTAGAGAAACTATTCGGTATATACATCTGTGACTTATTTATTTCACTTAGGAGTATATCCTCAATATGTTTCCATTTTCCTATGAATGAATCTAATTTCTCATTCTTTATGGTTTTCAGCGTTTTTAACACATGCTAAGTTACTCAGTGCCTACTGTGTAACACTACCACAGCTTGTATGATCTTTGCCTGTGCTTCAGAGTGGACAGTCTGCTGGTGGGAAGGCATGAGAAGGTTGCTATTGGCAGTGAGGAACTGAAAGAGTCTCAGGAGTGGTGGTGTCCTTCCTTGGAGCTGGATCCAGAGGATGGATAGAGCTTGCCCAGTGGAGAGGGAGGGTAGGGGCCAGCCCAAAGGTATGAAAAGATCCGATGTGTTTTGAGGCAGCCATATTCTCCACAGCTGGAGCAGAAAGTGCGTGAAGGTTATTGGTAGGAGAGGAGATGAGGGCTCTGCATCTTACTGAAGGGGAAACACTGAGCCATTGAAGGTTTAGGAAGGAGAGGGCATGATCAGATTGGTGCCCTGAGTGGTGATTCTTACAGGAGCATGCAAGAGGATAGGTTTGAGAGAAGTGTGACTGGTGTCCAGGACAGCTGTAAGGAGGAGGCCAGAAGAATCTGTGTGGGAGTTGAAGACAGCACAAGTAGGAAGAGTTGATAGCAGTTGGTGATTAGATGGACTGGAAGAGAGGGGCAGGAGAGGGAAATGTAGGAAGCATGAGGAGGATTGAGATTTTGTTAACTCAAGTAGGCAGCTATACTACCAAACTGCAACATAGGAAGGAGAGTTCTTGAAGGCAAAGGAAGTGGGAATGAGTTGGATTTGAGACATGCTGGGATTTGAGATCCCAGAGACCATCTCTTCTCTAAGCAAATAAATACATAAGTCTTACTTTCTCTCTGCCAGATGTTATTCTAAGTAATCTCAAAGGAGGTGCAAATATTTTCTCCACTTCAGAAAAGATAGAACTGAGGCATAGAGAAGCTAAGTTGCTGAGAGGTAAGCGTCTTCTCTTAGCCCCCATGCTTGGCTTGTGCCCTGTGTAGAGGAGCTGCCCTGTCCTCAAGGAGCCCATCCTCAGGGGGAAAGAGGCTTATGGTAGGGAGGTAAGCTATGGTATGCTTATGGTTGGGCTAAGCTGGTCATGGTTGCTGTCATCCTGGAAAGCTGTACTTGTGTACACAGGAGGGGCTGTGTCCCTCTGGTCACAGCTTTTGAAATCCATTACCTATGACAGTGAGGACTACAAAGGTGCTTGTCTCAGGTTGCTTTGAGGATGAAATAAGAAGTCTTTGTGCATCTGTATTCTGATCACAGACATACTTCATGATGATGTGATTCAGCACTTTGCAGTGGTGAATTTCTGTGCTTTATCTGTGTTGTCTCATTTTACCCTCCCAACCCTGGGAAGAGGCCACAGTGAAGGAGAGACCAGGCACAGAGAGGTTAGGTAACTTGTCCAAGATCAGAGTACAAGGCTTGAGCCCACAAGTGTGTGTGGTTCAAGACTTGTACTGTTAATTCTCTCCACACAGCCTCCCTGCTATGAGGCACAATTGGTACTTGGACAGTTTTCAACTAGTTGTTAACAGTTTTTTAAAAATTTGGATTTTTGATTTCCATATTGCATGATTTCTAAATGGGAAAATGATGACACTGCCCTTGTAGGGGAAGACTGGGGTGGGGGGAGGCATTATTAAACTAGCTGAGACCTTCCTCAGCCCATCAAGTGGGGAAGATGTTCATGACTCCAAGAGCATACAAGTTCTGGTTTTGTAAATTTGTATGCATTTTGCTCTCCCTGGGGAAGGTATTTCCTACCCGAAGCAGAGAAATATGTGGTACTCATTGGTGGGGGAATGAAGTACTTTGAATTTCACGTGAAGGACCGCATGAAATGACCCAGAGGGGGTCCAGGCTATGGTACAGCAGGGTCACACCTAGGGTTGTTCAACTGTATTTGCCTTCACCAAGAAGGATCGAGTACCAGCTTACAGGAAGGACCAGGATACAGGTGCAAGAAGACAGGGTCACTTGGAAAACGGCAGGACCTAAGCCTGGCATTGCAGCCTGAATGGGTGGTTCTGGGATAGGTTTTATCCAGCAGCTCTCTGACCACACAGAATCATTCAGGGCTTCTGACACCTAAGAGGTACTCAGTAAATACTGAGGGGACCTATTGAATATCCCTTTGTTCATTCAGCCTTATGCTTTGGGGGTTGGGGCAGAAGAAAGAGAAAGCAGAGGTAGGAAGGTCAGTGAAGTAGTTCAGGTGATTCTGTGTCTTTCCACTCAATGGTATTTATCGCTGGGTGGGCATTGATGGGTTGTCAGCCAGCCCCTCCCTTGGCTCGGTTTCTGTGCACCTTTCAAAGTGAGGTGTCCTGCCACACGAGTGAGATACATAATGGATATAAAGCATGGCTTGAATTTAAGCAGATCACTTTACTGGTTCTCACCTGAGCTTCTGCACAGCTGGAGGAGATACTGTGCTGGACCTGTTGAGAGTCTATGTTCACTTCCTAAGGAATTTTTAGTGATTTTGAACTATACAGGATTTTTCCCCCTCTGCATTTTCTCTAGAATCTACTCCTATCCTTTTTATCTCGTGATGAATTGTTTAGTCTTTGCTGATCAGTGCTTGGTGGATCTGTGGTCTCAAAGTGCTGTCTGGCCTCATTTGGTGATGTACTTTGCTTTGTCTATCTATTTCTGAGTTTTCTGTTTTTGAGATGGGGTTTAGCTATGCTGCCAGGCTGATCTCGAATGCACAATCTTCTTAGTCTTTCCAATAGTTGGAATTGTCATCCTGTGCCATAACACCCAGCATTTCTTGGCTTCTGTTTTTATTTTTATTGTTTTGTGGAATAGAGGATTGAACTCAGGGCCAACCCTATCCCTTTTAACTTTATTGTGATACAGAGTTTCACTGAGTTGCCCAAATTGGCCTTGAATTTGTAATTCTGCCTAAGCCACCCCAGTAGCTGAGATTACAGACATGCACCACCACACCCAGCTATCCCTGGCTTCTGGTGGGAGTCCATAGGCTACGATCATCCTACCAGGAGGTTCTGCACTCCTCATGAGTTTCATTCTTGCCAGCTGCCATTCCCAATGTGCTTTAGTTCCAAAGAAGCCACTTCTTTTTTTTTTTTTTTGTATCAGGAGTTGAACTCTGGTCCTTGCACTTGCGAAGCAGGCGGTGGTACACTGAGCTAATTCCCCGGCCCCAAAGATGCCACTTCTGCTGTGATGTCATCCAGGGGCATCCTTTTGAAGACCCCAAACATTAGTGGTGGCAATCTTGGCATAGCTGGAAGGAATAGCAGCTGAGGAATCTGTCCCAAGGCCTCTGGTGTGTGTGAGGATGCGTTGAAGGCTCTCCTGATCTCGCTGCTGGACTCTCCTCTGCATGACAGTAGCACCTGGCAGTGTGATCAGCTCCTGTCCCTGCGTGTCTGGATCAAATGACTGATTTCTCAACCTCTCCACTGTTGGCATTTAGGGCTGAATAATTCTTTGTCCTGGGGGGCTGTTGTGCATTGTAGTGAGGTAAGATCAAAGAAACAAAAGATGGGTAAAAAGAGACAAATCATAACTTAAAAAATTGTACTTTGAAGAAGACTGCAAGTTCCTAGGAAGTTATCCAAGGCAATGCATATCAGCATTCCTTTGGTTAGATTTTTAATCTTTCCTTACAAGACCCACCACACTCAGAATTCCATAAGAATACTAAAAGTCCACTTGGGAGGCTGAGGCAGCAGGGTCGCTGAGAGTTTGAGGCCAATCTGAACTATATAATGAGACCCTGTCTCAAAACAAAAAACAACTAAAAGTTCATAAATTGGCTTAGTTGAGAAAGTAAAGAGCAGGAGCCTGACCCCCAGATAAAGGGGCAGGTTGAGTGAACCCCCCCAAAATGTTCAAACTACCTTTTTAAAAAAAAAGTCCATACCTGAAGAATGGGCTAATGCTCTTGGGTGTGTGCGTGCGTGTGTGTGCATATTTTCCCATGCTTTTCCATCCCTTCAAGGGAAGTATAAATGTCCCCAGTTCCAAACTGTAATGCATCTCACTTCTCTGAGCACCCACACTCTGCTCTTGAGTGCATCCTACAACTCTAATAAACCCTTCCCAAGCCTCTCACTGACTGTCCTGAACATTCTTTCCCTGCAGTGGGAGCTAGAGAACCCACTACAAGAGGTTCCTTAGGTTCCTTACTCTAGCCTCGGGGACCCTCAGGCCCAGCCTGGTGACAGGAGCATGTCGAACAGCATCCTTGGCCCCTGCTCACTGGCTACCGTAGTCATGACATTCACAAATGCTGCAGCAGGGACCAGTAGAGAGTTAAATGCTTTTTGGTCACTTTCTGTTTGGGGCCATCAAAGTGTTGGAAACAGAGTGGTGATAGTTGTACACCTTTGCAAATGTACTTAATACTACTGAATCACACACTTAAAAAGGCTGGCAAATTTATATTTTTCACCACAGTTTTTTAAAAGTTGCCAAATGCCCCCTGGGGACAAAAATCACTGCCTGGAAGTTCTCACTACTGCCACATTATAGAATGTCACCATCTGACCCAGTATGGCTACTGCTTACCCCTTCCTTTTGATTTTATGTGTTAAGGATTTTAGCATTATTAGCCCTTTTTTTGTGTGAATTGTGATAAAATATATATATATAACAATTTATTGTCTTAACCATTTTTAAGTGTACAGTTCAGTGGCATCAAGTACATTCATGTTGTACAGTGATTGCCATTGTCCTTTTCCAAAACGTTTTTATTACCCAAACAGAAACTCTGTAGTAAGAGCTCCCCATTCTCCCCTGGCCTCTGGCACCCTCCTGGCAACTACTTTCTGTCTGCCATGTTGTTTGTTTCTTTCCTTGAGCATCCATAAGACAGTAAGAAATCTGCAGAATTAGTCTCTCTTTTATAGACATAGGATTTGTTCTCAAAAAGAATAAAACTAGCCAAAATGTAGTGGGGACACTGACTTAAAAAAAATCTTCATGCAAAGGATAACTTTTGGAGAGGAGTTTGGCAATACCCAGCAAAATTTCAGTTGTAGTTACCCATTGACCTAATAATTCCAGTTCTATGTATCTATCCCAAAACACACTTGCAAAAATGTAAGTAGATGTATGCAGTAGGTTATTTGTTTCAGCACTAATTACAATAACAAAAACCTGAAAAAAGCTCCCATGTCCATCAGTAGAGAATGGTGAATAAATTAGTGCATCTTTAAAATGGGTGCCCCGTGGCTCTTAAGAAGGAGTGAGGACTAACTATATCCAGATTTGCAGTATCTAGTACTGCACTGACCTTTTGACAGCCATTAGCCATTTAAGTTCATATCATTTAAGTTCATATAAATCAAAATTAAATTTAAAATTTAATTTTGATTATCATTTCAGAAGCTTCTGTTGGGCTACCCTAGACTAGAACAATGAGAATTGTGTGCTACCCTTTGTCTACAGGGGTATGGGTATGAATATATATGTATGTGTATGTGTATGTGTATATATATATATATATATATATCCATTTATTCATACTTAGACTCATTTGTATTGAAAAACAGAAGCATAAACCAAAAACTAATAGAAGTTATCTTAATGGGGGAGGGGAGGAAGAAAAGGTGGGATGGGGCAGGGATGGAAACTAGGTATCTCTGAATATATCCTATTTTGTACATTGGATTTTGGAGCCAGGCAAATGTTTTATATGATTATAAAATAACAAAGCTTCAAAATTACAAGCCCTCCTCCCCCAAAGCCCTAAGAAAAAAAAAATCTCTTGATTCTTTTCCCTCTTTGAAAAGCCCAGGCCACCTGTGTACTCAGGCTGGGACAGTGCAGATCTACAGCTCTGGGTGATCAGTCCCGCACAGGCCCGTGGGAATGGGCCCCCACCACATGTGCCTGCCTGGAGAGGCACCATGCCACTCTGCAGATGGCAGAGGCTCCCTGCACTTTTATCTGATACTTAAATTGTTAATTTTATAATAACAGCCTGTGGAACCTAGGGTAAACAATGAACACCAACATGTTTGGATTTTGCTGTGGAAACAGAATTCTTTAGTTTTAAACCCTAAAGGTACTGGATTTAAAGAACACACCACTGCTTACGTAAAGATTTTTTAAAGAAATCCGAGGAGATAATTTCATTTCTATTAAAACATGTAACGAATGGGGGAAAAGTGTATCCCTTGCTTTTTTTCTGCAAGAGGATCTCCAGGAAAGTGACAAGAAGGGGACTGGCTGGGCCTGGTGGTATCTGCCTATAATTCCACCACTCCCTGAGCTGGAAGGAGGAGGATCACAAGTTTCAGCCCAACTTAGGGAACTTTGTGACTAAGCAAGACCCTGTCTCAAAAAATTAAATAAGATCTAAGGATGTAGCACGTTCCAAAGGCCGTGGGCTCTATTCCTAGTCCTGAAAGAAAAAAAAAAAAAAAAAAAAAGCGAAGGAATGCAGGAATTCAGTGGCCAAGCTGCTCTTGGGTGCTGCCCAAGCTAACACCTGTTGGGATGTGTGCAAACCTCTGGCTGAATTCCAAGCATGTTGTAGCATGACCTTTCTTTATAACTCTGGTTGGGAAGGGAGGGAAACTGGCAGGCACAGTAAAGGAGTTCAGGACATGTACTTCCTGCTTCATGCAGAAGAGCTGGAATGAGAACTGGAAGAACTAGCCCCAAGTGACCCCTTGAGGTTGCACATGCAGCTGGTCAGAGGCCCAACCATCTCAAATGAAGATTATGTGAATCATGGACCTCAGAGCCATGTTTGGAGGTCACTAAGGCTCAAGCAGAATGAATTTCCCAGGGAAGGTGACAGAATTGGGACAAAGAATATAAGTAGCTGCCATTTGAGGATTTTTTTTTTTTTTTTTACTTTTTTCACAGTACTGAGTGTTAAACCCAGAGCCTTCACACTGAGCTACATCCCCAACCCATTTTTTATTTTGAGACAGAGTCTTGCTGAGTTGCCCAGGCTAGGCTTGAACTTTAGATTCTCCTACCTCAACCTCCAAAAGTGATGGTATTACAAGTGTGGATCACCATGCCTAACCTGGAGGGCTTTCTGTATGCCAGAAACTACTAATGGATTCTTTCATTGACTGAATAACCAAACCATACAGGATAGGTAGTGTTACTTACATATTATAGAAACCAATATAACTTAACATGCTATAGCATACTTGGTTCTCCAAAGTGAAGGAGCCAGGACCCAAGTCCAGGTGTGACTCAAGCCTGTTCACTGGACCCCTGTGCTCCCCAGTGCTTCCTGACTTGGTCCAGTTTTGCATCATTCAGCAATACAGCTGTATAGAGAAAGTGCCAGTGTGTCAGGGAGTTCTAAAGTTTCCTTGATATTTGTTGTTAATTATTATGTGGTATTATAAATTGTCTTCTGTGATAGGCTTGATTGCAAAAGCGCTTTATGGGGTCCTCTACCTATACTTTCAGGATTCATTCCAAGTACTTAGACATTTGAAGATGGGACGTTAGACTTGCCTGAATTAATGTTTACTCTAGCACTTTTCTATAGATGGCTCTAGAGTCAGACAGACCTGGATTGAAATTCTAGGTCCTGCATGTTAAACATATTTCCTAGCCTATTTATGCTTTAATTTCCTCCTTTGTAAACTGAGGACAACTGTCAGTAGAGTTTTGAAATCACTAGAAATCTCTTTCAAGCTCTTGCATAAGAAAGCAAGTGGAAAATATTCCAGTTCTGCATGAGTAATGTAAACAGGCTCTGTCCCCTTCCCAAAGATGGAGAATACCAGTGTCCTGTTTTTCAAACACACAAGTCCTGAAATTCTTTGGTGCAAATCATCAGTGGATAGATTAGAAGAGCTGAGGAGGGTAGGCTTGCAGTTTGTCATCTGACATGAAAATGGGATTTGACACAGGTGTGGCTGCTCCACCTGTGGCTGGGATGGTCTGGGTAGCAAACCAGCCATCCTGGCTTCTGTGCACCTGGGTGTTTCCTCTGTAGGTACCTTTTTGGGGGCTGATTTGCAGGAATAGACTCAAAAGTCTCCACTTGCACAGTGGCCTTGAGAGAGTGGGCAGGCTGCATGTCGCACAGGCTGGTAGAAGACAGTTGCCTGCAATGACTGTGGGCAGTTGCTGAGCATGGGCTGCCCACCGTCTGTGTCTTTGTCCGTCCCATCTTATATCATATGTCTCAGGTGTCACAGCTGATGTACATGCGATCTTTGAGATCCAGGTACACTGCTAAGGCACAGCAGTCTGCAGTGATGCCTAGCCGATATGTCCATCCTGGAGAGCAGGACTTTGTTGGTTGGGATGAGACTAAATCATTGCTTAGCTCAGTGGAACCTGTCACTTCTCAGGCGTGAAGAAGGCCACAGCTAGTTCAGCTGTACGGGGCTTGAGTGCGTGAAGGCTGGAGAGGAGGCATAGGAGTGGGGGTGGCGTCCTGAAGTCGAAGAATTTTCCTGCTGAAGGCTGTGAGAGTCCTGGTTTAGTGATGTAGGGAAGCATGTTGGGTACAGGCCAGTCAGGAAGGAAAAACCTCTATCCAGCCCTGACTCCCGGAGGGTTTTAGGGAGCTACTTTCCAAAGCACAGAACACCTAGTTAGATACTATGTAACAAAGGTGTTGTTTGTACAATTATTTTGTAAGTGGTGGATCAAATTTCAGCTTGGAAGGGTCTGTACTCTGGGCCCTGCTTCTGGTGGCAGCCCTCTCAAACCTGCCAGCTGGGCTGTGTTCCTCTGGGCCCTGTTCCAGTAGCCCTGGAGGTGTGTCCATTGGCCCATCACACTGTATTGTATCCCTGGTTCATCTTCTGTCTCATTAGACTGAGAACAGGGATTGACCCTCTCCCTTAGTGCCCGCTGCTGTGCCTGGCTCACGAAGGTTCACACTGTGTATTAGGAGAGTGGGAGGTCCGAGAGGCAACCCAATCTCTGCATTTTCATTTTTAGCTTTCCCTTGTGAGTTCTATCTCACTTTTACACCTGAGTATTTAAGACTCCTTTACGTAGGTTTTACTGTTCCCTCCAAATGTTTTGCAGCCTTTCTCTCTTTCCAGCTGTCTTTCTTTCTCTTTTTCCTGTTTTTGCAGACCTGAGTCTTCCTCTCTTGTCTTCAACTCCTCTCTCTCCCTCTTTTCTTTCTTTTTGGTACTGGGGATTGAACTTGGGACCTTGCGCTTGAAAGGCAGGGGGCAGCACCACTGAGCTAAATCCCTGGTCCTCTCCCTCTTTTCTTCTCTCGCCCCTGTCCAGTGCTCTCTCCCCTGGCTCCCTTCCCTCCTCTGTGACCTTCATTGCTTCTTTCTTGGAATGTCACTGCAACCTCTATTAGTTTTTTTTTTTTTTTCTCTTTTGGTGTCTGATCTCTTAGACATTTGCTGAAGTTTGTTAACCTAAAAACTCTCCATGCACCTGCAGTGTTGTAGGTGCTTGCTTAGGGGTAGTGTTGGGAGCAGGTGGGGCCAGATCTCAGCCTTATGCTAGTCTCTTCCAGCATCAGTATTTTGTGTACCGTTGGATTCATCACTTTGAACTCAGTACTCACGCAGGCAATGTGGGAGAAAGATGGTTCTGATTCCTCAGTTGGCCTTCAAGGCCTTCTACCATCTTGATCATTCATCCCTCTTTCCCAGTCCTGTCCCATGGCTCCCTTTCATGTGTACTGCACATTCCAGCCAAACTGGTATGTGCCCATCATTCCCCACCTTTTCCTTTTTTCATCATCACAGAGCGTCCAGCTGGCATGTCCTTCACGTCTCCACGTTCTTGTGTCTAAATCTTGTTCTTCTCTGTGATCAGTTCAGTTGCCATCTCCGCTCCACCCAGTGAGCTTTCCCTGCCCTTTACCAAAAAATGTTTAAGTGCCCATGGCACATCGACCATTGCAAGGGAAACAATATCCTGCTCCCTCTAAAGTGTTGCCCCGATTTTCTTGCCTCTTACAGTGTGTATCATTTTGCTTTCTTGCATCCCATGCATTGGCAAGTTCTTCATAGCCATCTTTGTGCCTAGTGCAGAGGGAGCCCATAATGGATTCTGATGAGGAACTGGCTGTGCAACTGAACACGTGTTTCATGGCTTGCCCTGAGCTTCCAGGCCTTGCCTCATTGAATCCTCTCAACAGCCCTATAGGTGCTGTTATTATCCATATCTTCCAGAGGGGAAACTAAGGCTGAGAGGTTAAGCAACTTGTCGAGGGTCGTACCACCTAGCACATGGCAGAGATGAGTTTGGTACCCAAGCTTTCCTACCTTTTAACCACTACGTTGTGTGACCCAAACGAATAGAATGAAAACAACTCAAAATAGGATGCCAAAGGGCCACTGGGGAATATACATTTCTGAAGCTGCTACCAATTCAGAAAGGACACTTCTTATTTTTGAAGTCAGCATCCCTGGGTTTTAGCTGTATCCTTTACCAAGAAGCGTAGCTCACAGCTAGGGTGCCATCAACATCGAGAAAGGTGGAAAAAGCAGCCAGAGAGAGAATTAATTTTCCCAAGCTCTCTCATGATGCTGACTTCCCGAGATCTGGCATTTTAAGGTTCCCAATCCAAATAAATGGGACCCTAGAGGTTGAAGAAAGACAGCAAAATTTCCTCTTTATCTCTGCATTTCTTCTTTGCTTGCTTTCTTTTTCTGATACCAGGAATCAAACTCAGTACCTTGCGCTTGCCAGGCAGGTGCAGTGCTGCTGAGCTACTGAGCTGCATCCCTGGCTCTGCATTTCTTCTTTAAGTCCGGAATTGTTAAGGGGTAATGACTGTCAGGTCCAGTCCTGAGTCCTCCAGGGCCATGGAGATGAATGCACATCATCCAAGGGCCTCTGCTGGAATAGAAGTGGTGAGGCTTATGGAAAAACAATCTTAATGTTAAGGAGAGGTGCTGCGGTTCTGAGATACTGTTGGGAGCAGACAGAAGCCTAGGCACCTCCCAACTACAGAGGAACTCCGGAACCCTAGCTTTCTTACTTTCTGCTTTGATTAGTAGGGACTTGTTTCTAAGCTGCAATGTCTTGACACCCTGCTACCCTGCCAGGAGTTAGCTGAGGGCTGTGGTTTTAAGCCTGTGCAGGGGTGATTAGAGACTCTGTGGCTGCAGTACCCTCTCTTTGAATGTGAGGAAAGCTGGGAGTTGGCACATATCTCCCCATGTGGAACTGTCTGGACAGCTCTAGCCCTGGACTGGTAAAATGAATACCTGAGAAGATAGCAAGGGGTCTTCTATACTTTACACTTTATGCATAGTCATTTAGTTTTTGCTGCAGACCTGTTCTGTAGCTAAGGACATGATCACAGCAGCAGTAATTGGTCCAAGGATGCATAGCTGAGAGGCAGCTGTTAATAACCTGATGCTGTGTATGAAAAATCAATTAGCAGGCACAAATGGAGCCACATTACTGGGGAGGAAAAAGGACTGATCTGAGCATAAGGGTAGAAGCCTCAGGAAATACTTCCATCTTCTTGTTGTTGGCTTGCACTGTGGACAGCTACTGAAGGATTACAGGGATCACCTTTCTCTTTTGGTACTGGGGATCGAACTCAGGTCCTTGTGCTACTATAAGGCTCTGGAACCACTGAGCTAAATCCCCAGCCCTGGATCACCTTTTACTGGGGAGAGGTCATTTGGTCAAATAAGACCTTGCTGGTAGAGAGAGCAGAATGATAAACTAGCATGCAGCATTAGGGAGGCAGAAGATGGGAAAACATATGTGTCTCTTCTGCTCAACTGAAGCATGTATTGGTGGTGAGTGGGGTGGGCCTTTCTAATCATAGTGAAAAGAAAAGAAAAATCAGCTAGGCATGGTGGTGCTTGCCTATAATCACAGTACTCTGAGAGACTGAGGCAGGAAGAGCAAAAATTCATGCCCATCTTGGGCAACTCAGTGACTTAATGAGACCCATCTCAAAATAATAATAATAATAATAATAATAATAATAATAATAATAATAA